AAACACAAAACAATTTTTTCTTTGATTATCGCGATTTTTTCGTTTAAAAATGGTAGTGAATAAACAAGAAGGCAGTTTATTATAGGTTATCGACTATGGCGAATCGTATGAGCACATGCAGAGACATTGCGACGTACTTTTTTCCATTTGTAAGCGTTATTCCCACAAAAAAACCATCAAAACTCACTGTTTTATGAAAAAAGGATATTTCAGAAAAACCGCTGTAAAACTAATAAATTATAGTGCATTCGAAAGTAGAGATTATGGGCTATCTAACGATGTATAAAACTCGAAATCGATATTTTTGTCGAAAATTGCTTTTTTTTAGGTATGGGGGGCCCTTAAGATGTAATCATGCATAGTTTGAATTTAAAAAATAAATCAACTAATGGAAATACTCTTTTATTGAGTTATAAAAATTTTTTTTTTAACAGAAAATAGAGTAAAATTCGATAGTTGGGTATGTCTTTCATTTATTGAAATATCACTACCCTGATTAATTGTGTTTTGTAAAGTTTTATCCATAATAACTATCATATTTGATGAGATCTAAGTATTTTTCAAAGACTTTAAGACCAGCAGTTTTTTTTTTTTTTTTTTATATACAAGTGATAATTAAAATAATACTTTTCGTTACATCTATTATAGACTATTCTTTATTTAATTATTTGTCATAAAATCTTTTTGGTTGATCGTACAATACAAGCCCATTGTCATGCTCAATCTGCACAACAAATAATTATAAGTAATTCTTTTCGTCAATATTCCGATACAAAATTAAGCTGTTCATTACCATCACCTTTAATCAATAATAATAAAAGTTTATCACCAATGATATCACCATGTTCACAATCTCATATGATAAAATCAAGAACTAATAACGGAAATATAGCACGTAAAAAAGCTATTATTATGTTATTAATTATTGCTATACTTTATTTCATTGCATTTTCACCAATACAAATTAATTTTATCTATACACAAATAACTCATTCACATCATCTTTATGAACATCGTCTCTTTTTTATTATAACAATTCTTTTAGCATTATCATCAACAGCTTTCAATCCAATTTTATATTATATATTTAGTAAATATTTTCGATATAAATTTAAAATTCTTTTACGTCATATATGTCCATTATGTCGTTCAACAACAAAATATCAGACTAATTGTCCAACGCCTTAAATAAATTTTTCTTTTGTTTCAATTAACTAAAAGAAAAATTAATGGATAATGTTTAGAAAAGTGTTGAAGATTAATGACAAATTTTTGAACATTATAGTAATCATAAAATAATATAATTTTTCTGTTTACTGTACATCTTTTCGATAATTAGGGTGTGGACGACACTCAGCCCTTGTATATCTTTTTGTCGGTGAAGTGCGTACAATGGTTTAATCTTATCCGGTTGTTATCTCCGCTTTTTTTTTATTCTCTTACACAATTCGTAAGATATATTTTATCTAACTACATAGAATTCAGTCATAAGAATATAAGTTTTTTTCAAAAAGCATCTTTATTCATCACTGAATCGCATTTTACACGTTTCCAATGCCGTTGTTTTTGTTCTATCAACCAGCTTCTTCAAGAGTACTTGATCAACTTTATCTATTTTATCGAGTAATTCATCATATTGAACTTGGATTGTGGGATACAATTCCACATAAGTATTGTAGATAACACCCCCGAGATTTTTTCGTGTTTCTTCATCTTTTATGCATGAATGACTTTCAATCAATCCAGTCATTTGAATGATAGTGTAGACACTTTGTTGATCATCTTCTTTTAAATGACTAAGAAGTTCTTGAAACTCCTTGTAAATTTGATCGTAGTCGTCATCGTCAATCTGTCGCTCTGAAGCAATTAAATCATCATAGTTTTCACCATCGTGTAATTCAGGAAAACCAGAAAAACCAGGAACACTAGGAAAACCAGCGTTTCTCGGCATACTATTCAGAAATAGAAGCGCAGCAAACACTGTTTGAATGATTGGACGCATTATCTTTTCTCTAGAAATTAAAGAAAAATCTAACGATAACAATATATAATAGTTATATTCAAGTGATCAAAATAAATGACCCATCTTCTTGTTCAATTTTTATCCGCATTACAATCATTTGTTCTCAAATTCACACCCGATGCATATTGTTTTTTTTTCTCTCTAACTATTTCAAAAACTTTACTCATCAACAGAGAGAAGAAGCTGAGAAAACGATAGTATGTTTGATGTATTGCTCTCTGAGTGAAACAGAAATTCAATTTTTCTTGGTGAATTCATTTTTTCGTTACATCAAGTTAGGTCAAATTGATAAAATCCTGCTAATTTGACAAATCTGGATGTAAACGAAAAAAAAAAACATGAATATCGATTTCACTCACGTAGGAGTATATGGAACAGACATACTATTTTTCTCAGCTCTTTCTCACTGTTAATGGTTGCCATTTCGAGAATAGTTCGACAAACAATCAGTGTACAACTGGAATAAATATGAGAAATAATGATATTCATGCGAATAAAACATTGAAAAAAAATATGGTCGACCGTTTATTTTGGCTTAACAGATATATATATATATATCAACAGTTAATGTTGTACGGCTACTATCGATGAATAATATTTGTCTTTTTTTTTCTTTTCATCTTGTATCTCATTTTCTTTGCCTTTCCCTTTGGCATAAGTTTAATGAGATACCACGTCTGTATATTGTGTTTGAACAATTATCATGCCTTTTATTTTTATCAATTTATATCGAGAGTTATCATTTATTATTTATATGTCAAGTGTTATATTTATTGAATAAAAGAAAAAAGAAAAGAAACGCTTTTCTGAAAGGGAAGAGTGGGCCAGGCTGAAGAAATCGTGAAACAAATAGACCTATCTCCTTAAGAAAAAATACATCTACAAATCTACTTGTCTCAACTTTTGCTTTTCAGCGATCAATTGTATCGGGGTAAATCCATGGGGTCTCTACCACAAAATACACAACATTCTCCAAATCGTCTGAAACTTTCAGGGTTTGTAGACAATTTTTATCTAAGACTTTCTACAAATGCAGTTTTTTAAATTTCATTATTAACAAAGAGATATCGATGTTGAAATTTTATAC